AGATCTGAAGTAGCCTGCTTCCTTCTGGATTTTTTCCTGTATCACTTCCAGTCTTTATGAATTTATGCATATGCTCTTTCCCCCTTCTCTCCTTTAGAGCTTGTAACCAGCTTCTTACTATTAAATACTTTCCTTCTCCCAACTTATTTGACACATATATGTTCTCTTCCCAAATGAAGCCTAAACTCCCCTAAATCAGCAAGCTGATCTCTCAGACAGCTTTTGATTCTTGCCTCCAAGCTTGGAAGAGTGCTTGGTGCAGTGGGTTATTAAAACTCATTTGGAGATGAGAACTCTCCTCGTCTTTTTCAGCTTCGGTTTGTAGAGACCTGGCCCCAAATCAAATACTGGTCATATTTCAAAGTGATAGCCTATGATTGTGTATTGAATTTGCTTTTGCAGGGGAAAGATCTCTGAATCATTTGACTTTTATTACTTTACACAGTGCAATTCTTCAGGAATGAAAGATTTAATTTTCTTTGTCCTTCAGTCTGGTTTTAGGGAAGTGGGAGGCTATTTCAGGTGTGTAATGAGGCAAAAACCTCTTTTATTACTTCTTCTAGATTCTGCATCTTCAGAAAGTCTCTGCTAGTACCAGGGCATAACAGTTCTGTCTGCACCAAAGAGATTGCAGGGAAAAATGTCAAAAAACATATTTAAATAATTCAATTCTCCCTCTGATGAAAAGAGAAACATGTAATTCTGCTGGAAGGAAATCTGGTTTAACAGTTACTTAGTTCTCTCAAAAGGTTAGACTATTTTATTTTTTTGAATGCAAATCATATTTTGCATTGACAAAGTGAACCTTAAGAATTTTGAATAGTGGAGCAATCCAAGGGCCTCCAAGCATATCAGAATGAACGAATCACTATTATTGATTTAAAATCCACACACACACACACACACACACACACACACAGACTTAACCAGTACTAGGTCTTAAATTTTATGAAAAGCCTCGCTGTTAAGTTGTGCCCAAATACAGCCAAATAAGTAAATGGGTAAACATGGATTCTCTATGGCTAAAAGTGACTCAACATTGGCTGTACTTTCAGGGGAAGGTTACAAGCTGAATCACATGGAAATGAGTAGCTTGAATTTATAACACATTTGGTGCAGTCATCAAGTCCTCCTGAATGAAATAGGAGTCACCATGAAGTAGACACAATTTTAGGATCACTCCTTCCTACCGTCATATAAATACCTGCACAGAGAGGTACAGGCGCACACACCTACATATGCAAAGAAAAGAAGGCTCATTTCAGACTCTTCATAATCCAGGCATGATGAACGATTCCCAATTAAAAATAATGGTGCTGTCAATCTAAATATTACACAGAATTGTTTACAATGCCTGCTTGTACACGCCCTCAGTAACATCTATATGTAGCTAGTTCACACGAGGTAGCCACCCATCACCGTTACTACACAGTTTAGAAACAGATGGTATAGCTTTGCCATGCCAACTTCTAGGTATTCATTCTACCATTCTGACAAAAGAAGGGATGGGGGGAAGAGGGGGCAGGGAAAGCAAAGAACTGTTGTCATTATGAGTTGCTGAAATCTAAATTTTGACAGTCGGGTATGGAATTTTTTGTTTGGGGTCATAAATGATGAACACCATCAAGTTATATTTAAAGTCACAGAAATGCAAGCAAAATATGCCTGTAAATGATAAAATAGGGTTTGCAAATTGTCTGTTCAGAGTCTTGTATTTTAATGAAATAAGATGGTTGGAATGCCCAGGTACTTATCCCCCACCCTAGGAAAAGTGAAACCCAAGTAATTAACTATCAAAATTATCCAAACAATGGCACCTTTTCCCCTGGCTCCTTCCCAATGATTCTTTTAAAATAAAATACTTTTTTTTTTCAGCTAGAATAACATAGCAAAACTGACAACAGTCTGGTGTTTGGATTTACCAGCTAACTGCTTAGCTCTTTCTTCTATATTCCTTATGAGGTTAATACCTAAATGCCCATGTTGATTGTTTGATTGGTTCCCAGAGGAAGAGGGGTAGAGAGCAAGTCAAGTAGAAATAACCCTGGGTGGACAGGTACACTTGACATGCTATCATGGTGCTTCTGTTCTTGTACTAGAATATTTTGGGCCAGTTTCTCCTATTCAAAAGATAGGCTTTGGAATCAGAATGTCCCCATGTCTTAATTCTCATTCATTTACCTATCTACTTAGTGTATTAGGCAACCACAAAACCTTCGAATCTCAGTTTTCTCTTGGTAATTTGCATATTGATAGGGTTTGAGGAGAACTAAAATGATTAAAAAGAACTGAAAAAGGAATTTAGATGAAAACCAAGGAAATCTAAATAAACTATGGACTTTATAGCAATGTATTGCTAGGGGCTCCTTCAATCACAACATTTGTACCATACTACCGTAAGATATTAAGTAATAATAGGGGAAACTAGCTGTAGGGTCAATAGCAACTCTCTGTACTATTTTGATTTTCAGTTTTCAGCTAATTTAAAACTATTCTACAAAATAAAGTTTATCTTCTTAAAAAATGATCAAAGTGTGGCCTCTTGCATATAGTAATGATATAGACTATTTAGTTTTATAAGGTGCATTATACTTTCTACAATATGATCTTTTCCTCTATTCAGCAATTCCTTTTCATAGACAGTTCTATCTTTTTGCCTCCCATGTCACTAAATCCCTTTCTCTACATCATTTTACTTCTCTCTGGGTTTTTCTAGTTCATTTCTATTCTACTATGAACTCCTGTTTAATATACAAGTAGTTTATATTTCTCCAAGGCTAATTTTAGTTCTCCAATTCCACTTGCTGGCCACAGTCTTAACACAATGATTATGAAAACATTTCAATTACTTTCACTGATCTTTCATTCAAGAAAAAAAAATCAGAGTTTTAAGACTTTTATTTGGAGAAGGAGCAAAAATACTTTTCCAGAAATGCATTAAAAACTTCAAAATACAATGGGAAAAGCTTATCTTCTCTTATACATAAGAAGATATATATATATATATATATATATATATATATATATATATATATATATATATATATATTCAGCTTCTCAGTAGAGCCAACAGGCCCTGGGGTTGCTTTGCTGGGATATATATTTAGCAATATTTTCCTGCAATAACTAAAAATAGTTTGACCAAAGGGCAATGTTATCTATCTGCTCTGGAGTTTCTTTGATGTTAAGGTCATGGGTTAAAACAGAAGCAGCTTGCCCCTTAAAACCACAGCTTTGAATGCATTTAGGTAAAACATATAATCAGATCAGAAAAATGTGACCTCATAATGATCTTTGTCAGATGGCTGAAGGTTTGTTTGGAAGAACTGGGTCTAGGTGGGATTTTTTTTTTCCTGTTACAGTGTTGGAATGGAGAAAAATCATCTGTTTAAAGGACGCAGTTACTGAGACTTTGTTAATGAAAGGGGTTTTTCCCCCCCTTATTTTTATTTTCATTGTGAAAGTATAGCACATCTTTGGTTAGTGCTGTCACTAATGGGATACGCTGGAGATGGATTTGGCAGTGCTATGAAGACACAATTACTGCAGTAATTCCAAGCTGAAAATTGAAATGTCTGGTTCTGTGGACCCAACATCCAACCTTAAAAACAACAACAACAACAACAAAAATACATTTCGTTGCTCTGAGAATACTTTTGCTCTATGATACTCCAAAAAAAAAAGTAAGGGGTCACTCTGAGGGTGGGGTGAAGAGCCCACCTCTGTCTCTTAGCCAGGAAATGAGTTTTATTTCTTAGTAAAAACTGATATCCAAACTTGTGATGGCTGAAATAAATCGGCAGGGTTGGGTAATGTGTGTACGTATGTAAGCAAAACAAACAGGAATCTGTGCTAATTCAAGATAACGATGTAAGATAAATATGGAAAAATCTAACACTCTACTACAGCAACATATAATTCAGACTTAAAAGACAGCAACGGAGAAATGCACTATTTTAAGACACTAGTCTCTTTTAAGAAAGTAACCCCCTTGATGGAGTTAGAGCTGCCCTGATGTGGTGGGGTCACATAGCCCCTTGGGGGCTTCACTGGCTTTCTTGCTAGCTCCACTGCTGACTTTCCTCACTAACTCCACCTGGGTTCCTGACTGCTTCTCTGCTGGTCCCCCGACACTGCCCCTCACCCTGCCGTGTGCACCACTCCCCTCCTTTCTTTGGCTGGAGAATAGCTGATAGAAATAGGGGGTTTTTTGCAGCTGCACTTTATGAAGCAGCAGGGTTTGGAGGGCCTCGGCGAGCCAGAAGGTGGCAGCGAAGTCACCTTGGGAAGAGAAGAGGGTCAAAGGGAAGAAGGTGGAGGTGCTGACCCTGGCAGAAGGCCCACCAGGCGCGCCCCTACTCCGGAGTCAGTGTGAAAGGGGAAGGTCGATTGGAAAGAACCGCGACCAGTGGGGAGAGGTGCCCCAGGGCCCTTAGGCGACCCGGGTTGGTGATCAGCTGATGAGCTGGGAGGAGGGTGCCCTTCGCAGCGTCTCTCCCGCTGGCCCCTGAGGCTACCGTGAGTCCTCGGGGAGCTAAACACTACTCGGAGGTGCTCTCTTCCCAGCACACCGGCGCCCCCTCCTGCCGGGTGCCCCCGCCCGCCTAGCGCACGCCCAAGAGGGCGGGCCGGAGCTGAGCGCAGCCGCCGGCCGCTGGAGAGCGCTGGGAGCCCTGCAAGCGAGCAAGGCCTCTCTGGGCGCCGCGGGTTGCAAGTCACTCCCGAGCCTACGGGGTTACACAGCGGGACCTGCTTGCCCAGCACCCTGGCAGGGAGGCCCCGGCACGCGGCGCTGAGCTGCGCTCCAGGCCCCGCGCGGGTCCCAGCAACTCCGGGCCGGACTGGGCCTCGGGGAGGCAGCCTCGCAGCCCCTTCCTCCCAGGGCGCGGTCTCCACCTGCTCCGACTCCTCCTCGCCAGCTGCGCCGCCAGTTCCCATTGTTCGCCCCGCCCGCCTGGCGACGTCCGGGGCTGCTCCCTGGGCCTCCCAGGCGCACCTACCTTCTGCTGCCGCCGAGCCATGTCGGTGGGCTGCTTGGCGTTGAAGGGGTAGGCGATACAGCGCATCACGAACACATAGAGCTGCAGCCTCTTCTTCCTCTCCTCCTCCTCCTTCTGCAGCCGCTCTAACTCTTCCTTCTCCTTCTCGCTCACCACCGACGGGCTGGGGCTGGAGGGCCGGCCGCCGCCGGCTCGGCTGCTGGGCTGCAGCCCCCCGGCCCCGCCGCCGCTGCTCGAGCCGCCGCTCCCGCCGCCGCCTGCGCCCACCCCGGCCCCAGAGCCGCCGCCGCCCCCCATCCCGGCGCTGCCGGCCGAGCCTTCACTGGTGCGGCTGGGAGACAGGCGCGCTCCGGACGCGGCCGAGCCGAGCACCTCCTTGCCGCTCTCCTCCTCCACGATCTCATCCGATTCCTCTTCGCTGGACGAAGGGTCCAGCATGGTGGCGTCTGGGAAGGGGGGTCCCTGGAGCCCCCGATTTGGGGTGCAAAAGGTGGGGGGCGCTGGAGGCAGCCGGAGGTCGGCTCTCGCGGGTGGGCGCTTCTCCCCAGGTCAGGGAGCTAGCGCGCTGCTGCTGCTGCTCAGCCTCGGCCGCCGCGACTGCTTCCTCCGCCCGGCGATCGCGAGCTGGGCTTAGACCCAGGAGCGCGAGGGGAGGAGGAGAAGGGAGAGGTGCGTCCGTGGATCCGAGGTGGGCAAGGGCGAGAATCAATTGCGAGCCCCAAGCCCACAGCCGGATGCCATCTGCAGCCGGTGAAGGAGGCGCCTCCAGAAAAGATGCCGAGTGTTGCAAGCTGTCGATGCAGCCAAGAGCCGGCGAGGCATCTTGCCGATTGGGGAGGGAGCGGCGCTTACGTGTTTATTGGCTTAACTCTCCCGTGTCCGCGGCGTAAAGGGCGGTTGCAAAGGGCTTGGAGAGGGGGAGGGTGCGGAGCGTCCCCAAAGCCTCAGCGTCGCAGCACTTTTGACCCTAACGCCTTCACTTCTTCCTAGCCCCCCTCCCTTTTGTGGCTATTTTCCTCCTTGATCCCCACTTCTCATTGTCTTGACCTCTGTTCCCCTCCAGGGGACAAAAAAGTTCTTGGGGGGGGGGGGATACAGAAACCAGTGACTTTTACCAGCGGAGAACAGGCCGTCTGGAGAGGCCAAATCAAGAGGTGTCATCACTCAGAAGAAGTGTGCGAGTTTCCGTGTGGTGAAGAAAGGGTCGATCTCCTAGCCCCAGGCTTCACGCCTGGGCGGTGGGGGCTGGGCAGCAAGTTTGTCCCACCCGTAAAAACTCTGATTCCAGCGATTTACTACGCAGACGCCCACTCTAATTAAAATACAAGGGAATCAAATTTTGAGTGTGTTGTCGAATCGATCATGCAGCTCAACTTCTTAAGTGGAACCCCTGCTTTTGCCTACCTCCCTAAAGCTATGATGAGCATTCTTAGGTTCCCAAGAACTGAGATCACTTTATGCTGTAATGAACCTACCCCAGAAAAAGCAAGGTTTCTTCTGGTGTCTCAGTCCTTTCTTCATCCATTTTGACTCGCTGGAATAGGTAAGCCGAGGAGTGCCCCCCCCACTCCCCGATGAGAAAGACACACCCCAAGAATTGAGCAGCGTCCGCATATTAATGTACCGACTCCCTTGGTCTGTGGGGTTGTCTAATAGTACCGAGCAGCTGATGGTGCCTTCCTTCCCCTAGTTCCTTTCGCTTAGGCCTATAAAACCCCTGCACGGGGGAGCTGGCCAGCGTGCTGAATCTAATCAGCGACCTGCAGATGGATGGAAAACAAACCAGTACCCTCCACATTTGCTGCTTAGGCTGTTTGGAGACCTCTCTCCACCTCCCCGCACCCCATTTGCTATATTTATGTGTTTTCTAATTCTCTAATTATCTGTAGGTACTCTTGGGAGCTACTGTAGATGTATAGCATTAGTCAAGTTTACAACACAACAGTCTGTGTGTTTTCCAATTCACCATGAGTTTTACCATAAACTTGGATAGTCAAATAAAGCTTTCTGGCTAACCTATTTGGGACCTGAAAAATAACTCTAAATAACATCGAATTTCACATACACTCCAAAAATTGTTTGATTTTTTAAATTAAGTAACATGCAGATGACTTATATTTGACTTCACTATCATCTCACTTAAAGGACACAACTGTTACATTCATTATGCATTCTGTATCAACTTAAAATTTTTTTAAAAATTGGGGATATAGCTCAGTTGGTAGAGTGCTTGATTCGCATTCACAAGGCACTGGGTTCAATCCCTAGCACCACATACACACCAAAAAAAAAAAAAAAAGGACAATATGGGAATTTCTAAAATTTAGCAGTTCTTGCTTTTTAATTGTTCTAAAGAAGTAAAAAAAAATGTTCAAGTAATGTTTTGTTGGTTTCTCTGGAACAAAATATTCCTGTATTTTAATAGTGACTAATAGGCAAATCTATGCATCAACAACCTTTATTTGGCATTTCTAAAGGAACATTGTTTTAGACACTTGGCATAGATAGAATTCTTGGGAGACAGTCTCTTATAAAGAGTCTATAATCTCCTTTGGGAGATACAACATAACCATGTGAACAAGATTGACAGCACTCTTTTAAGTCAACATATCTACAAATCTAGGTTAGCAACCTGCAAAAAGCTTGCATGAATAAAGCAACTTGGAATGGAAGGGAATCATTCTTCTTTCTCAAAAAAAAAAAAAAAAAGTGAAATAGTAAAGGAAAGAACTATATGAATGAGTGATAAAAATAGAAGATGTTACAAAGAGAAGAGGTGGTTTGCAAAACCATAGTGATACATTAAGTGACTAAGTAAAGCATGGAACTCTGTAGAAATAGGGTAGGGATAGGTAAGGGTACGCCAAGTAGGAAAGAGTGAGATGAAATAGAATCCATTTGGCTAAGCAGAGGGACAGTGTTTAGGACATAAAGAAATAAATTCAGTTAGCCAGGGAATATGTGATGATTTGGGGAGGAGGTGCTCCTGAAAGCCAAAAGCCATTTGATGATTAAATATTCCATACTTAAACAAGTTTGGGCATTCAAATATTCTTAAATAATAAAATGGTGGCAGAATGGCCATGGATTCGGTCTGCAGAACCATTCGGAATTTCTCAAGTGCTACCATAAAATTTCACTTGGTTTTGTATCTTAGCAAATCTGTTTGGGATTATATGCTTTTTTTCCCCCAATTATTGTCATTAATATAGAAGCTCAATCTATGCCATTTGCTACTCATATAAACCTACAATTTGGACATTATATATAACATTGCTTAGATAAATCTAATAATAACATTATAAATAGTACATATAACATTGCTTAGATAAAATCTAATAACCTTCTCAACGCCTCTTAAGAGTATTCAAAGAGGCCTAACCATATTGTACCAGAAATACTTTTATAACTTTCTTCTCAACCGATGTGCACTACTCTCATTTTAAATATACACCCTTTCAAAGATATTTCTTACTTTAGCCAAAAGTAGTTTGATGTCCTTGTAGATATTGTAAATCTTTGTCAGTGTTGTAAATAAGTAATGCCAACCAGAACTCCTTAGGCAAGTAAACCAGGGGTCATAGCCTCCCCAGATGCACATTTTGGTAAATAAAGAAGGAAATATTCCCACAACACATCCAAAGGCTCTTAACTTTCATATACCTCTGGTTAACATCCGTGTTCTTACAAAAAGTGCAATTCTACCAGGAATTCCAATACAGTTACCTATTCACCTCCTCAAACAAGCTATTTTAGGTAAGGTGCATTAGCTCCCCCCCCAACACACACATGGGGTTTGGCTTTGTGGGAAATGTGGGCAACCTCAAGGTGACAGAATACATTTTAACCAATCACATGGAGACTGTATCATAAAAGTCAAAGTTGTCACACTGAATTTGCTAATCCTAAATGAAATCTAGAAGAAAGGAAATGACGGTAACATAAAACCAGGAGTTTCACTACTAAACCTGAATGATCTCCATTTTGATATTTTGGGGTTTGTTACCAGAAGACAGACTTTAGTCAACTCAATCTTCTTATTAAAAAATGCTAATGTATTTCATACTCTAGACATGCTCATCTAATCAATATTTTCTAAAATATTTAAACTATAAGAATCATTCATGAGATCCAAAAAGGGATTGACTTGAACCTGATGCCAGTGGTCAAGTAAAACACTTGCATCTCGACTCAGGCAGTCCTGCCTCTTCTACCTAATGGCCGAGTCATACTGAACAAATGACATGAGGACTCAGACTCAGTGTTCTCATCTGTAAAAGGGGAGGTCCTAGCACTTCCCTGTCTTGGAATAACCAAAGAATTAAATTAGATGACATAAAAAGTAAGAACAGATGACATAAAAATTGAACAGATTTTTAGCTTTAGATATGCTCTTCAAGTGATGGAAGAGGGACCTGTAATAAGAGTGATGAGAAAATTGAACACAAATGACTGGGAGGAAAGAAACAAAGAGAAGCATCAAACCATCCAGAAATAATGCCTCTAAATAATAGGATATTTTCGAATTTACTTAATTGAAACATCTCTTGTTTTTGATGGGTTTTTTTTTCCCCCAGAAGCTTAGAAAATGATCTGTTTTGTTCTAAACCTACTTTCTTTTTATCATTACTCTTTATCATACAATGATTCTTCCGAAAGTGAACTGAACTAGGTTAGAAGGGAATTAAAGGATAATCATAAAACTAAAAGTAATACAATCGAGCCACACAAAAACATCTTCTTTCACTCCAGGCAACAAAACATGTTTTGGAATGATAAATAATACTTACTTGTGAAACTTGGTCCTGAGAAACCACTCTTATTACTTAAGAAGATGAAAAAGAAAAATGGAACAGCCCACTGTATGATAAATATTTAACATGAATTCTGAAAACTGTTCACAGGGGTAACCGTGTTTCTTGGGTACACAATTTCTTTTGATAGAAGTGGAGGTAGATGTGGTTGGGATTGAAATGCGGTTTGTGCAATGATGCAGTATTTACATGGACAAGATGGGGGGTCTTGTCATTTTGCGTTGACTCTGGCTTTTCAGTGACATGACAGCAAACTGCAGGGGGGGGGGGAATACCCAAATAGCTGTTTGCAGATGATAAGCTATCAGGCTGATAATTTTCCCAATTAGCCCAGTACTCCAGTGAGGTTTGCCTTGATAAAAATACTGGTAAGATTACATCTCTGACTGCTCCAAAGAATGCTCTGAGTAGGTTGGGTTCTATTTAATTGCTTTTACATACAGCCTCTGAGGTCCAGAGGCTTCAGACTGGAGGCCTTTCTACAGATTGTAAATAGGAATGAATGAAATGAGGGTGTTTTCCTATTAACACGTTTCAATTTCATTTAACTGGAAAAAAAAAGATGATTTCTTAGTTTAGGATGGCTTAAAATATCTAGATGTTACTTATGGTTTTGGAGAATGTAACTGGGTAGGAAAAGAAAAATGAAAGAGACTTTAATGAATAACAATAAAGTAAGGATGGGTGACCATCAAGGTTATCTGAGTTATGGGTGAACAGGGAAAGCACATTGGGGGAATGTTCTAAAGTAGCTCAAGTTACCTAAATGGCCAGCCAGTCCAGGAAAGGTGCCATAGATTACGACCTCAGCTCTGCGAAATGCCCTTCTTCTTCTTAAGGTGATTGTTGACTCTTCTTCCATAGTAAATTCCACTTTCCCAGCCCCATGTCTGGGAGAAATCCCTACTCTCCTGTTGTTCCTTTCAACAATAACTTTCAGTCCCAATTTGGTTCCAAAAGAATATTTAAGGAGATGCTGACATCATGCTTTTTTGCCCTTACGAGATGTATCTCATGAT